ACAGTATTACGAGACGTACGATTACCCATATAGTTTGTTCTAAAAAAAAGTGTAAGCCAAAGATAAAATATTTATGTTTCTTTTTTTTTAATTCAAAATACTTAAAATTTTACATTTGATGTATAAAATACTATCTAATAAAATGAAGTATATTTTGTCACACATTTATTCATCGAAAAAAAAAGATATACGTCAAGGACACAAAATCGGTAACACTTAGCAAATACTCAATTAATTTTGATATATTTTTGTTAGATTCTTATATTTTTGCTATCGTCATTTGTTATGATTGATAGAATAATTTTTTTTGCTTTTTCATTCTTACATATCTATGTTAAAACGTGAAGCAAAGGAAAAAAACACATCGATATAAATAATGCTTATCATTATGTAGTAACACGACGGTCGCATGACTTGTATAGTTTTCGTCTTAATAACTATCTATAGATCGACATTGCATATTAAAAACACCCGGATTATTTCTATTCATAGTTAGTATTTTACAATAAGATAGTGAGTCATGCCCCTGTTACTTAAGTAATAATCAAGAGGAACAATTTTACAGAAAGGATGCTTGTTCTATTAATAATTACAAATAATTAAATCTCTAACAAACAAGAAATATAAATATTCGCTTTTATTCAAAATTTCAAATATTCGAGAAAGAGTTTTCTATTACGCTGTAATTTTTCAGAAATATTAGATTAAAATGTTGTTTATATTCCTATAATAAGATGTATGACAATTTCTTATTCAATGATTTGACAGAATCGAATAAAAATATTGATGACTAGTTATTTTTTGTAAGAGATGAATGTAGTGACTAATTCTTCTTGTAGAGGGTGAATTGATGAGCATGTTGATAAGTATCTGGCAACTCCAATTCACCTGTCCATAACAATAGTGAAATTATTATAGATCTCAACAGATAGAATAAACTGGGAGGTTCAGTAGCTCCTGTTGATCTGAAAAGATCTAGATAATCGAAATCTGTTTAATTAATTAATATAAAACTATTACATAATTAGGTAGAATTGTTTTTCTTTTTTGTTTTTCAACCGATTAGATAATTAAACAAATGTATTTAGTTCAATCAATAATGTAGTTCTTTCGTGAATGAGATCTTCGATTATGGCATATAGAAAGAATTTACAATAGAAAACTTTCTTTCCAATGGTCTTATTTTCCGTACATTGAACAATTGAAAGACATAAGGAAAATGAGATTATAAAAATAAAAAGGATTTCTCGACATAAAGTTTGACAATGATCATTCTCATCTTTTATAAATATTTTCGTTCTTCTACATTTTATTTCTCATGAAAAGCAATAAAGAAAAACTTAGTTTGAATCATAATTTGATCATGAAGAAGAATATTCAAACACATTATTTGAAAAAAAAACTCTAACAGAATATTATTGAGAATTAATGTTAGAATCAATTGGTAAAACGTGTGTTGTTTTTTTTATTCAAATTTTCTTTTTCAATCTAATCAGTTAAGAACTATTGCATATGATTATATAGCTAAATACTCATATTATTTCGAACTTTATTTTAATATCAAAACCAGTACAAAGTTTTTTTTTCATTGATTGAATAATAATATTGAACGATAAGCATTAAAAGTTACGTTTGAAATATATTAAAAACTAAGGACGTCCACGAGATGTATTAGTTGGATTTGCCATATCAGCTTCATGGGCAGTTGTTCCTCCGCTACCAGTACCTGATACATTTGATTCTACTGCACGAGCACGATTAGGACCACTGAGAATTGCATTATCGACTTCATTGTGACCAGAAGCAGTATTATGACCTGTTTCACCTTCATGTTTTCCTCCACGATCACGGTCGTGTTTTTTATTTAAATGAAGACGGGATCTCACATCATTGCCCATTTTATTCAATTAATAAAAGCAAATTTATACAATCTACAATACATATATAAACAATTAGATTTCTTTTTTCTCTTTTTTTTTGTCATCTATTGTTAAAATATAACCTATATGCGGCAATAACTAGTATAGATTTCATCATACTTACGACATTCATCGACTTCCACTTATATAAAGTAACTATTTACTTCGAGGCCATAGTCTTGTCAATAAATGATGCATATTTCTATTTACGCTTCATATATTTTCATACTATCTGCTTTTTTTACTGTACAAAATTATTAATCACAACCTAATTTCTTCTTATTTTCCTTTTTTTTTTATACCTATATTTCAATGGTCACATGATACAGATAAATATATGTTACGAATAAATTTTACATACAAATAAATATGATAAGGTAATACAAGAGAGAGTGCGAGACAGAAAGAGAAACTGTGTTAATTATCGTATAGTATGTGATATGTATCCTTGTAGATACAAAAACGACGTTGTTTTTTGTTTTTCTTTTATGAGTGGGTGTTTTTCGATAGATCATTTTAGTTGAATATTCATTCGTTAATAAGAAAATAAAAAACATTAAACAATCATTCTTCATCTTTATTTTAATCAAACTAGATAAATTTTCATCGGTAATCAAAAATTATTTGAAACAAAATAAATCTATATTTATACATATAAATAAATAGCTTGATTTTTTTTAAAGATCAGCGTGATATTAGACTGAAATAATCAACTACAAGCAAAATATTATTTACTGATAACAAAAAAGAAATCTTATCTGTTTGAATTGCTCAGACAAAAACTTTTGACTATATAGTTTATTACGATATGAGATTTTACACATTTTTCGAAAACAGATAGTACACTAAAATTCAAACAAAAAACCCAAACTTTAAAAAGTACGCGAATTTTCATTGACAGACAGTTTTAATTGTTCTTATAATAGAATGTAATGCTCTTCGCCGAAAACAAGATTGTCGAAAACTCACATCGCCGACTCGACATGGAAATTTACGGTGA